AGTCAACTTTGATCTTTAAAAATTTAAATGTAGTGTCAATTGTTATCTTCTGTCTTCTAAATTCCAGGTCTTTTATTTTTCTGTCTCCTTAATCATGTTTTTCTTTTTCTTCTATTTTTTTACAATCAGTAATTCCCCTGTGACATATTGGCTTGGGGTGAAATAATTAAAAAGAAAAAGAAGAAAAAAAAATCCCCTATTAAGTTTGAGAAAATTAAATATATAGTGGATTGATAAATAGAATTGTATTTGCATAGATTAAGTAGAAGAGATATAAAGTATATAGAAAACCTAGAGATGGGCAAGAAGTTGATTACTGATCATGTATTGTAACACAACACAATACAACAATATGGTGTCACCAATAGGTGATGAACCTATGAATAATAGGAGTCACTCAGACATGGAAGATGATGAAATGAGACCAAAGAAGTGTAAAGAAAACCAACAAAACCGATATATATATATATATATATATATCAACAAATATATGTATTAAACAACACAATTTTACAATGGACATTAACATTAACATTTGTGTTTGTGTGTGAACGTAGAGAGTTTGTATTTTGATGAATGTTTGTACGTATGTGTATATGTGTTTTGTGACATTTTCTCACAAGTGGGCAAAACACAGATCTCTGCGAGAGATCACAATTTGTAAATATGCCCACTGAAATGCAAAGTAAAAAAGAGAATGAGGCAAGAAGTTGCCCAGTATTTATAGTGTAGGAAGAGCACCCTCTAGTGAACAATTTGGACACTTAAGGAGGAGTTAACTCCAACAATATCATGTTCTATTTCATTTACACTTTATTTTTGTTTATAGTTCATCTAGTGGATTGGTAAATAGGATTTTACCTATTTGCATAGATTAAGTAGAAGAGATATAAAGTGTATAGTGAACTAAGAGGCAGAGAAGAAGTTGACTACTGATCATCGTGTTGTAACACAATACAACAATATGGCGTCACCAATAGGTGATGAACCTATGAATAATAGGAGTCACTCAGACATGGAAGATGATGAAATGAGACCAAGATCTCCATTAAAAAGAATAGGATATAAACCTTAAGGTGGAGAGGAGGAAAGAGGTTGTAGAAGAAGTTTGTGAACAAGCAAAGGCATTAAACCTCTTCATTTCAGGGAAGTGGATTGGTAAATAGAATTGTACCTATTTGCATATTTTAAGTGGAAAGGATAATAAAGTGTATAGTAAACTAAGAAATGGCAAAGAAGTTGGTTACTGAGGGCACCTCAGCGTGGTGTAATGGTTAGCAAGCTTGTCTTGCTATGTCAGTTACTACTGAAAAGTGAGTTTGATCCTCACTGGATGCCCCCATGCTTTCGGCCTTGTGCCACATCTAAGCTACACTTGGAAAATCTCAAGAAGTTGGTTACTGATCACATATTGTAACACAACAAAATAATTTTTTTCTTTTTATATTCATGATTTGGAATGCTTGACCTATAGGAATATGAAAATAAATTGAAAAAAAATTATTATTTTTAGTTGCAGTACCTATTGTACAATCTCCAACAAAATACTTTATAGCTACCAAAATCTGACCGTCCTGGGTATGACGATAAACTACATCCATCTCCTGGGTAAGACGATAAACTACATCTGACAGCAAGGCCTCTCTGATCAGGAGGTTTTGAGGAGCATGGAACCACCTCTTAATTGCTGTTGTTCCCAGGTCCACTCTGACCTGGGGTTGTAGCACATGTTAAGGTCCCAGCTATGGGCAAATAGCTAACACCAAACTGGGGTCAAAACACTATGAAAATGTAAAAATAGGTTTTAGTACCAGCAATACAGTTTTGTAAAAGGTTATTACCAGCAATGAATTTTGAAGGAAAAAATTACCAGCAATACATTTTTAAAGGAAAAAAATATTACCAGCAATAAAAATCTTGTCGGCATTAAATAACCCACTGAGGTTGATATACGATAAAACAAAATAAGTCAAACCAAACCAAAACATAACATAAAGTACATTTGGCACAATAGTGCCAATCAATTGCTTGATGTCTGCTTCAAACCTTCAATTTGTAAAAAAAAAAGTGCATAATCTGCAAAGTGCAATAAAACAACATATTTATACTATTTACATTATTTGGACTGTTATCCTCATCTTTATTGTCACATTCACAACATTTCGGCCATTGTACGCTCCAGCCTTCTTCAGGTGATATTTGTTTGAATTTTGAACCAAACCCAGTGTAGTCAATCTGTATGCCAGTATTTCTAAAGATTGGTTTAATGACATTTGTGTAAATGTTCATCCCATGTTTATTTCCCAAAATCGGCTGACATATAACCTTCACATTCTTGAGTCGCACAGTGAAGTCACTGAGAATTGATTTCCTCCACCTGCTGCTTGCTTGCAAATATCATGACAGGGATTGGCAAAGGTCAAGTCCTTTTCCTGCACTTTGTTGTTGCCCTGCTATTCATAGATGAGAATTGAAATTCCAATGCAAAAACTGTCACTTTTTTTTCGTACCTTTATGCACTGGTGCACAATACACATGCCATAGATGTATTCCACAGCTGTCTAAAATGCTTGTTTTTGTCATATAGGAAAATCATGGTGCTTGAACAAAATATTCAGCAAAAAAATCCCATTCATCAGTAACATTTTAAACCCCTCATAGAATGCAAAGTTCTCAAAGCAAACCTCTGCCAAACTGTTTTCCTGAATCCTTGATGACTTGCCTGTCTGAAAATGACAACATCAAGATGAAATAATGGAAACTGACCACGGAAAACATTATGTGCAACAAGTTTATGATCAATCAGTTAACTTCTAGATGTTTTCGGGCCATGTTATAGGATCCAAACAGCTATTGTTTGCCCATGAAATTATTCACTAGTAATTAATCTTCAATTTGGCTGTGAAAAATGTCACTTGGGGGTTAGCATTAAAAAACACTATGGCCAATTTTCTGAGAAAAATCACTTTTTTATGAAAAAATATTTTTTTCACTTCAAATCATTTTTTTTTAAACTTCAATCCTCTCTCTTTAAGTTGGTGTGAACATCATTGAATAAAAGGAACCACTATGTGACCTGGTGATGGGAAATATGAAAGAAAAAGAAAACAATGTTGACTGCTAAGTGTTGTTGTCATCACCCGGGTCATGAGGTGTTAAAAAAAAACAAAAAAAAAACACATCAATTATTGTTCAAACATAGGTTTGATAAAAAAAAAATAACTCATATCAAGCTCTTTTTACCAATATTCCCTCATTTTTTTCACTCTTTGATCTTACCTTGTAAATGGTCGGATTTACAAGTTGCTGACAACTTGTTCTAATGTTTATCGCTCGCTGGCTGGCTGGCTGGCCTTTGACCCAGATATGTCAAAGTCAATTTGGCTTAATTTTCCATATTGCTGTTATTTTTTTTTTTTTTTTTTTTTTAAACTCTTGGTTTCCAATGGTCAAGAATTGCAGATGAATCTTTTGTCTTTTACTAAAGATTACGTGGCTGGGGTGTCAATTTTTTGAATCCCTGGCAGCTATATAATTGAAAATTACCAACAGGCTTTGTTGCATTTTTCCCCCTAGGAATGTTGTTTTCCTTCAAACTTGAAATTTTATGCCTGATATAGTTTGATTATGATTTAGGCTTTCTGATTTTAAAAAAATGGTTAATTTCCCATTATTGCAGAAAATTTTTGGTTAGAACTAGAAAAAATGCAAAATTTTCACTATTTTTTCACATTTTATCTGCTGAAAATTTTTTTTGAGTCATTAACACCAGCCAGTTTTGTTTTTAAATGAAAGAACATATTGTTTGCTTTCAGAAAATACCTAGTTTCATTGGGTTCAGATCAAAAGTTTCCTTGATGATGAAACAATCATTTTTTAATATTTTACCCCTATAAAAGTATGAAAATCCATTTTTTTCAGAGAAAATAAGCAGTGACAAAATGACTTTTGCCTTTTTTGTGATGATTTTTACTTGGGATAGAAAATCTTTACCACAGCAAACCTGAATTGACTTACTTTAAGTTTAGAGGGGCTATAGGAACCCTCAAACAGCTATGATTCAAAATTGTCATAGCTATTGCATTTCAGGAAATAAACATGGGAAGAATGTCTACAAAAACGTCATCAAACCTATCTTCAAAAATGTCAACATACAGATTGAATACTCTGGGTTTGGAACAAAATTCAAGCAAACTTTACCTGAAGAAGGTCAGCACATACAAGGGTCGAAACATTGTGAATGTGACAATAAAGATGAGGAGAACAGTCCAAACAATTGTAAATAGTGTAAATAGTTACAATTCTTCATTTCAGAAATATAGACAAAACAACATAAGTATTTTATTTTCAGTTTATATGAATCTAACACTCATTACCCAAAACACAGTATTCCATGAATTAGTCATAAGAGTATTGACAACTTTTTCTTTTTTTTTTCCATCCAAAGTTTCAACCAATATGCTTTTAGTCATCCTCAGGAGAAAGTTATATCCAGTTGTCTTTAACTGTAACCATTTCTGATAAAAACATCAAAGATGAAGTTTCTATGTGTCATGCCTCTTCAGGACGTTGGTGATCATGGCTCTCCACAATTTCCTGTCCTTTGTAGTTCTTAATAATTTTTTTCTTTTTGTTATTTCTCCTAAACCTTTCTCTGCCATCCATTTACTTAAGTTCACTAGGTAAATTATGTGTTGTTTTTTTCTGTCCTTCTTGCTTTCAATATGTCCTGTGAGTGTCAAATTTTCCAAGCCTTCTCTCTTCTTTATGTGCCCTTGAAATTTCAGCTGCCTCTTTCTTATGTTAAGTATAAGTGTCATATTCTCTAAAACTTTATTGTTGCTCACATGTTCAATCCATAATATCCTCAGCATCCTTCTGTAGAACTACATTTCTGTTGCTTCAAATCTCTTCTTCATCTGTGAAGGAATTGTTCGGCATACACTGCTATATAGGAGGGCTGATATTACATAACAGTTCAGTACTCTTTCCTTTGGGCTTACGGTCACATTACATTGAAACACCAGTTCCTGTATGATCACCGAAGTTAAGCAACATCGAGCCTGGTCAATACCTAGGTGGGTGACTACTTGAGAATACCAGGTGCTGTAAGCTTGGATGTGTGGGTGGTGTAATGGATAATGGCTTGGAATTGTTAATCGGGGAGCTGAGTTCCAATTCCTGTTCAGTTCCTTATAATAACTTACACACAAATACAATAGGAAAAGGTATGAATCCACCTCTTCCCTCCGGTTATGGGTTAATTAGTAAGACTTGTATCACTAAATCTTTATTATCTCCAAAAAATTAAAAAAAATTCTTATGATCTAAAAGTATTTTCTGGTTTTAAATAATCTGCAAAGGATTTATAAACCATAGAAAACATATCCATCAGTCAATATTTTTCTTTATTTATAACATAAATAGTGAGCAAATAATAAAAATACTGTTGGAATTTAATTTGAGAACAATATTTTACAAGTTCACATTTTAGCTATTATTTCTATCCTCACTCCAACCTTTATTTTTACTTTCAAAACCAGCTCCCAAAGCCTTGATTCTTATCAGAGATAAGAATATATTTTCTGACTAACAAGAGAGCTGAAAAATATAAAAACGAATTCCACCATCATTATTGTTTCCATGGTGCCATAAAGTTCGTTCACTCCAACCTGTTTTCATTACTTTCAAAACAGGCTTCCAAAGCCTTGATTCTTATCAGAGATAAGAATATATTTTCTTACCAATGAAGGGGCCAGGAAATTTATATAACAATTTGGGAGGAAAAAGTCCCCGATCCTTCTGAGCCTCCAAAATTTCCATAAATTTGGAGGTTCTTTGCCTATTTGGCAGTGAGAATTCGGCCCACAAGGTCGACGATAGAAAGCACATCAACTTCAGAACCAATTTCAACCAAAGAAGAACTACCTATTAAAGGGCTGTTGAGAACAAACATCAGCCCACAATTCAAGACCAATTGAAAGCTGCATCCTTTCACCTCTCCTTCTGTTGTGCCCACTGGACATCTGTCGTCAACCTACGAAGTTACTCAACTGCAAGATTCTTATATCTACCAACATTTTCCTACTCTACAAGAACTTTGAAGAAAACAGTGTTTCTAGCCATTAACAAAATTCTACTTGCTTAAAGAACCTTTAGGTGCTCAGAGAAATATTTTGAGCAAGCCTTTTTTCTGTTATTAACATTTTCTCTTCCCTTAAAGCACATTTTCTTTTCCCTTTCTTTCTCTCTTAATTGTCTCTATCCCTTTACCCTTTTTTTATGTATATGTAAATAAACACTTTCTTCTTTAATTGTTACACACCGAGCACAAGTTTTTTCTTTATTTGTCTGCGCTTAAAAGAGAGAGTTTGTCCACTCTAATTTTGCTGTTTTTACTCATGTTTTGTCACAGTTTTTTAACCTCAACCCTTAGATGTGTGAAAGCCAGGATAAATTTCCCAACAATATTTCTCTTAAGAAATTCAAACAATTCTCAAACAATCATCTTCAGCTGACTTTGATTTATTTTCAATTTAATCTTCCTGTTATATCTTATCAACCACTTACCTCTCACTTTAAAGAACCTCAGTCGAACAAATACTGAAGAGAATTCAAATTCAGAAGAACAATATTAAGAGAAGATCAATTTGAAATAGTCAAAGAAACATTATCAATTCATATTGTCTTTACTGTTGACTGATATGGACTTGTGTCCATAAAAATAAATAAATAAAAATTAATTATAGTGTGAAAATAATAATTATATTAAAATAATTATAACAATTATGATTATCATTAATTAATTCACTCATTCTAAACCAATGAGAATCAACAACACTTTTCTCCTCTACACACACAAACACATGACATTCTCACTACCAGACAAGCAGCTCATATGGACAGGTCATCAGAATGTGTGTCAATGAAAATTTCAGCTCCTATTCCTTTTTCAGACCATAATAATAAAATTTATCTTTTAACACTCAACTAAAAATTTGAGGTAAAAAAAAACCAGACACTTTTTTGCATTTTCTAACTAAATTATCAGGACACTCATTACACACTTCCATAAAAAAAAAACAAAAAAAAAAAACATACAAGAAAGACTGTATACATTTTGCTTATTCTTTACTTTATCCTTCTGTCCGATTCTGATCCATATTTAATCTACATTTGACCCAAACTCACAATTTTATTTAGTATTACTGTCTCCTCAAGGAGGAGACAATGGTGGAGTAATAGATAGTGGATCAGATTGAGGAATTGGAGATCCGAGTTTGAATTCCAGTTGAATCCATTACATTCACTTACATGCTAATAACCCTTGGGAAAGGTATGAATCCTCCTCTTCTTCCCCCCCCCCAGCTATGGGAAAATAGCAGGACAGATCGGGTTCCATAGCCTTGGATACCAACTGGTCTACCACAGAAAGAAATGGCAAACTACTGTGAGAAAAAAAATCTGCCTCATCAGTCACTTATCAAAAGAGACATGATCGGCTAAGCATGTATCCTGCATGGCACATAACTGGCTGACTGACCCTTGGGAAAGGTATGAATCCTCTTCTCCTCCAACTATTAGTAAATAGCAGGACAGACTGGGTTCTATAGCCTTGGATTGCAACTGGTCTACTGCAGAAAGAAATAGCAATCTACTGCAGGGTAAAAATCTGCCTCATTAGTCATGTATCGAAAGATACATGATTGCCTAAGTGTGTATCACACATGGCACATAACTGACTGATTACTGTCTCTTGTGTCTCCAACACGAGAATAAAACCAGATAATAAATAAGACTAATTTTGTTGTTTCTACATCTTGCTGTTTCTCATTTTTATGAGTATTTTTGTATATATTCACAGGGTGGAGGAGGGTTATAATTATTTAGGAGCTACGGTGGAGTAATGGATTGAAGAATCTGAGAGCCAAGTTTGAATTCCAGTTCGAATCCATTACATTCACTTACGTGCTAATACCCTTGGGAGAGGTATGAATCCTTTTCTTCTCCTTCTGGGTAAATAGCAGGACAGACTGGTTTCTGTAGCCTTGGATGGCAACTGGTCTACTGCAGAAAGAAATGGCAACCTACTGCGGGGAAAAAATCTGCCTTGTCAGTCATGTATCAAAAGATACATGATTGCCTAAGCGTGTATCACGCATGGCACATAACTGACTGAATGCCTGAAAAAATTCTCAAATCAACTTCTGTTGACAGTAAGTGGCTTCAAGTCAATCAAGAGAATGGAATTTATGGAACAAAGACCTGTGTTCAATGTTCTCAGATTGAGGAAATGGAGAGCTGAGTTTGAATTCCAGTCAGATCCATTACATTCACTTACATGCTAATACCCTTGGGAAAGGTATGAATCCTCATCTCTCCCCAGCTATGGGTAAATAACAGGACAGACTGGGTTCTATACTCTTGGATGGCAACTGATCTAGGAGAAGGAAAACTCTGAATTCAAAACCTGCAGAGAGTTGTTTGGGGACCTTGTGGCACTTTGGTTCTTCAAAAAGTGTGGTTGGCTCTGCACAAAGTCTTCACCACTATAATCAAATCATATATGCAGGTGTCTTGCTGTCAATTCCTACAAACAGAATTGCTTGACTCTCATATCTCGAGAAAACAACAGGAGAGTCCAGTATAATTATTTACTCAGAGTTATAACTCCCCTACAGACTCAACTGTATGAAACACATTGGGGAGTACAGTAATTCCATAAATTCTTTTGAAAGGCATAAATGCTTTTTTGCATAAGGCTAACACATTATTCATTGATTTTGTCTGGCAACATTGAAATTTATCAGATAAAATAAATAGTAACAACATTTTCCTATTCTTATATTAGTCTTGTTGACATACAATTCATGCTAGCTAATCTGTAAATCTTATAGGCATGATCGACGCAAAATAGGAAATTATAAGTCAGTAGCAAAGATAATTTTGAACCTTCACAGATAAAGAGCAGACTGGAACTAACAGAGATGTGGTTCTACAGAAGGATGCTGAGAATACCATGAACAAAGCATGTGAACAAGGAAGTTTTAAGGAAAGTGAAAATAAAAAAAACAATTGTACATAGAACCAGAAAGAGACCATTGGAATTTCTGAGACACAATGAAAAAAGAAGCCTTGGAGATAGATTAGGTTCATTGAATAATTGTGGTATTATGGTGAATAATTGTGGTATTATGGTGAATAAAAAATGATGAATGCATTCTTTTGGTGCAAAGAAATAACATAAACATGTATAAATTATGAAAGAGATCAAATAAAATTAGGATCATTACAACAAGTCCCTATCTTATCTTTTTCAGCTGTATGCCACATTATTGCATTAATCAATAAGAATTATTAACAACAAAGTATTATTTAAAACCGTTGTCAAAATGTTGCAAAATGAAGTTAATCCAAGAAGAGAAGAAACTATCAGTGGTCAGTGGATTAACTTGCCAGATTTGGATTATCTCATATGAAAAGAAGAGATTTATTTTGGTTAATAACAAAAGCAGCGGCTTATTGCCATGATTTACTTTTCAGAAACTTAAACATCTGACTTTTTTTGATTTAGATAAATATTTTATAAAAATTAAATAAATTGTCGGTATGGGTACAAAATTTTATTAGGGCTTTAAAAATGGATATTTTAAGATTATATATGAATATATATAATATATAAAACAAAATGGAAAGAAGAGCAAAGATAAAAAAAAAATTACTCAAAGCGGTGGATCAAAAAAGGGTTATTCAGTTACTGCTCCTCACTGATATTTAAATAAAATCACCATGCCAAGTAGTGAGATTGTCTATTGATTGCCATCAAAGGTCAGTCTTTTTGAAGGCTTTGTAACTATGGGATATAAACTCTGATATTTTATGGCCAATATGTGAAGCACAAACAAGTAAGTGATGCCTACAAATAAATCTCACTAAATTCAGTAGATACAAAAATTCTGTAAAGAAATGTCTCCAAAATTAAATAATTAGTTTCTGGAACCTGATTGGGTATGACAAGTCACATGCTCTCTATAACATCTGTGTGGTTGAACTCCAAATGACCAAAAAATAGGTTGGGGTTTAGATTATGGAGTACATTCCTGTGCAAAACTC